AAATACAAATATTTTAAACTTTGGATACAGCAATACCTCTACACAAACCCATAAAAGGTATTTTTAATCTTATTTTACAACTTAATTTTTTGTAAGCCTAGTAAATTGCAGCGTTTAAAATATCTCATTTTCGATATAAAAAGATTCTGCAGGGAATCGAACTATATGCGGCCGTGGCTCAAGTGCAAACTGGGCTCGCGACATTCAATAATTTAAATTATTTGATAAAATTAAAATTAATGCACAAAAATATTGTATTGTGCTTACAGAAATAAATTTAAAGCTTGTGCTATTCTTTCTCAATAAAAAATACAAAAAGTTTTACAAATTTAATAAAACGAAGGATTAAAAATAAAGTTAAAGTTTTCCTTATCTTTTTATACTATACTAGCTAATGCTTTACCGTTTTAAACGAGATTATAAATACGATATATGCTCTTTTTATCAATCTGCATTGTGTCTTTGGGCTTGCATGTATTGTTCAAAAGTATAAAATGCACTATTTGTCAATGATTAAATGTTGCAATAGTCATTATTCTATGATCTAAATTATTTGATAATTAAAGGAAAATGCACAAAAATATTGTGCTGTCCTTACTGGAATAATTTTAATACTTGTGTTATTTTTTCTTAATAAAAAGTACAAAGAGTTTTAAAAATTTAAATAAAAAAGAATTAAAAATTATCGCCGGCCTAGTTTGTTACTTTTTTTGAGTCGGGTGCTCTATGTCTTCCGGTAAAAAAAATAATATTGCAATAATTTAATAAAAGATATAAACTTTTCTCCAACAACTCTTTCCCTAAACATAAATTCTAATAAAACCTTTTTTTGTATTATGTTTAAACCTTTCCTTGCTCCGATTTCTCTTTTTAGTCTGTTATTATAAGATTCTACGTGCTAGGTATGTGCGCCTGATATAGGATCAACAAAATTATACTTATGACTGGCGGCGGCGCAAGAACATGCATCATTATCTTCTAGACTTCTATATGCTTTCCATTCATCAGAATGGATTGTACTGCCGGCCTTAACCACCCGATTTATTATAGGAATTAGGACGTTGGCCGAACGAGACACAACTATAGTAGTATATCTCAAGCCAAACTTATAAGAAGTATCAACAATACATAAACACCAACAAAGATCGGCAGATTTACCTCTGTGACTTTTAAAATTAAAGGTGTATTTAGTCTCATATATTTGTACTAAAACATTTTGTCTCCAACTTCACCGGATTGGTCTAAAAACACATCTTAATACGTTCTAAAATTAAATTTGTAAATTAATTATTAGGTGTTTTCCAATATTCAAATGTTCGATAATCTTTCTCTGACCACCTCCACATGACTAAAAGTATATAGCCTTAAGTAAGGTTTTAAAGTCCGTTCTAAACACAGACATCCAAGATTTATACCTAGCAGAAAGAGTGGTTTGGTAATGTTGACAACTGTGATGACAACATCTCCATTCAAACTTATCTTGTATTTTTTTCATTGGATGTAGGTCGCATATTGACATTGCAATGTATGCATACCTGCTCAACCCAAATAAGCTTATAACCAAAAAGAAGATAAATTATTTCTTCTTCATTTGTTTTGATTATTTTTTCTAAAAAAGGTTTTTATCATTAAATGGGTATAAAAAGGGGCCCGGGATCTCGAATCCCCCCAATCGGGGGGCTTAGAATGCCTGGACCCCCTTTCCTTTATTTATTTTGCCTTTTATATTTTTTTTTGATTAATCCACTTTGATAACCAATTAGATAAATTGTGTGCAGCCCTAAGTAACTATACTATACAACCTAAAGTATATTAAGATTTTTTTCTAAATATTTGTAGCATACATATACACAATATTCCATTTCAAACATGTGTATAGAATTGCGGGTCGAACCTTGCACATCAATTTTCACTCTGACCAACATAATGCCAGCCAAACAATACGCCAGATACATATACTTTTAAAATTTTATATCACAAAAAAAATAAAAAATTAATATTTTGTTTTAAAAAATATGCTTTAAATAATTACTTTTATTAAAATAGAAAAAGAGTACCAAAACACTGTAGATTTTTTTGTAGGGAAATGTGGTGTCAGTGGTGGGTAGTAAGCAGGAAAAAAATCGATTCAAACAACGATGTAAAAAATTTGGCCTGGTAGATAATTTAATTTATCTGAAAACTGATGTCGAGAGTTATAGGCAATTTTTTGTTGAGGAAATGACTACCGCAATGAAGCTCGAACTGCAAATATTCATTAGGCAAAACTATTATGGGCATAATCGTTTATATAAATTGTGTAAGCAGGTGTATTTTTCAATACCAAGAGTGATTGTTAAAGAGGTTTGTGCAGAGTGCAATATTTGTGCTCAAGCACAGCCTTTCAAACAAGAGAGTAATTCGAGCACATTTTGGCAAGCCGACCTTTTAAAAGGTTGATAATAGATGTTGTTTATATGAGAACTTATTCTTGTCAAAATGAAAGTTATGCGTGGATTTAAACTGGTGTGATGTATCTCCAAAATATGCATTTACTTTTCCGATGATACAAAAACTGCTGCTGAAATCGTATCGTGTTTAAAAAACATCTTTTATATTGTTGGCCGCCCTTCAATTCTACAGGATAACAATTGTGGGGAGTTCGCAGATTCGGTTCTAACTGAATTTTGTACTCTTTACAAAATACTCTTAATTAATGATAAGCCTTGGCATCCTTAAAGTCAAGGTCAGATTAAGAGGTTATATCAAACTCTAGCAAGATATTTGAAAAAGCATTTGGGAGAAAGAAATCTACTTAATAAAAAGAAATAGTCATCTATTTTAAAAAAGGTGACCCATAAATATAATGTGGCTGTTCACTTCACAACCCATTAGTCCCCTTTTTTTTGTTTAACAGGCCGGAGTTAATACAGTGATACATAACAACCAAGATGATTGTGAAGCAAATAATAATGAAATTAATTGTATTAATGTAGACGAAAAAAATAACATTATTAATGAAAAATATGTGGCAAGAATGAACAATAAGTGTGTCCAAAATAGCATAAATGACTTTAATGTGAACGATACTGTTTTAATTTAACAAGATTTTGACAATAATATAAAAACAAAAAAATAATTTTAATCGTTTTATTTTAATCCTGGTACAATAATATAAATTCTCTGCCCTCCATAATGAGAGCGTCCACGTCGCGGAGGGTGGGACTGGGGTTTTATAACTACCGGTGCGAATCTCATAAGTCTTACCAATACCTTTTGGCTG